GTAAAGTCAATTTTATAAAGTATTGACTTTCCAATCAATACAAAACAGCGGCCGCGGACAACATACTAACAGTATGGTGGGGATATTTTGTAAGTTTGACTGTTTTGTAAGTCGCACGCTGAGAGTTGAAAGATTTTCCCCATATCGAGAAATAAAAAAATTTTACTCTCGAAAACGAGGCAAAACTCGTTCTTGAGTTTTTTTTCTAAGATGTAGAAAAATTGAAAGTATAAAAAAAATTTTTTTTCAGATTTTTCAACTCTCCTCGATTGTTAAAAAATTGGTTAAAAAGTTTATTGTTAAATAAGCAATAGAAAACAAAACCTTTATGGAATCTTCATTTTTCCCCATAAACTAGAACAATTTTAGCGTATTTAAAAAAAAAGGTTAGCTATAGCATTTAGTAACAGAGTTATGAATTTTTGAAAAATAAAGTAGTCTAATTTTTAATTGTTTATATTTCGATTAATTTTGCAATAAAAAAAGTGATTGATAATAATCCAAGGCGTACCCATCTAAACAAATAAGTGACATTAGATCAATATGTAAATAACACAACTAATTGTAAGTAATTAAGTTAGTAGAGAAATGCCTTTTTGATTGTGAACTAGATCTTCGAATGCGTAATAATATTGTGAAATATCGTAGCATATACAGTTTTGTAAACTGTGCGCCGATTTTTTTGGAAACACAATCTTTAACTGAGATAGTAATATCACAAATTAAATTGACAAGCAGTTTAATAATATTGATGAGTATCATAAGATTATAAAGAATTTATCGAAAAAAATATCACTCCAGATTCGCGTTTGGATCTCCTTATATTCCATGACAGGCGTCATTATCAATTCGATCACATATACTAGTCTATAAATCTAAATCCAAGGGAAAAAAATGCTACAATCTCGAGAATTATTCGATGTTTGTTTGCGTAACGTACAAAACTTATATTCTCTTATCGAGATTTATTCACGGCAAAAAAATAATTGCATACAACTATCTTCTTTATCGAGAAGCCTCCGCGTACTTTGTTTCCTGCCACATGACATGGGCGGACGAAATTCGTGGTGGCTTTCCGGGAACGTAACATGGAGAGACAACCAATAGTTCACGGAAGATATATCATCGTGACGACAGATAGCGCGCGCCTTCGATACTCGCTTCGAAGACAGAGGAGAAGAACGAAATGCCGGCACAAAGAAACACTCGGTCGACTTTCTTGTAACGACGGTCTTATAAAATAAAACTTATAAAATCGTCAATTGGAAGTCACAAAACGAATGGCGCCGAAGACTGTGCCATCGATTCGTGGCACGCAGAGACGCTAGTAATAAAAACTTTCTCAATTTGCCAGTTTCATCAGGCACAGTGTCGCAGCTTTACGAGGCGCCGACCATCAGACTTCCCATCCCGTTAAAATTAGAAATATAAAAGTCGCGGAATAATAAAGAAAAAGACCAAGTAGGCATCCAGCTTGAATCGGAATTCGGATATTTCTAAGTGAAATTAAAGTTTTTATACTCATTTGTTAATTTAAAAGGTACTAAATATTTAAGGCTTTAATCCTTCGATCATACATGCATATATTCATTAGTTACTTTGGTTTAATTTGCTTTGTAGATTTCAGAAAGATTAAAAATCAAATCATATATTCAATAACTTAAGAAGGGAGACACGAGCTGTGACGAATAAAGTGGATTGATTTCGTTCTTTGCCACTTATACGAAACCGAGGGATTGTTTTTCGTCAGAATTCATCCTTGTGGATTGAATTCTTTTAATCGTGCAACTGATAAAAAAACCGTGTATATCCGAATAGTATCTCCAAAAACCGTCGTAGTCATGAGAGATTTACCAGAAAATGTGAATATTTCTATTTCTATTTAATTTAAAAACGTTCTATTATAAACGTACAGTTACATTTTTAAAAATATGTAAGTGCTAAGTTACTGCCAAGAGAATAAAATAAATATGTATTGGCTGACTAATACTGTTATCTCAATAAGAAATATATCAATAACGCTTTTCAGAAGAACTGAAATTCTTAATTGTCCTCCGAGTCAACAATTAATACCTAATTTGGTTTCAGCGTCGCATTACGCGTACACGCAAAACGTATATGGACGCAACATTAAACAGAGCCAAGACATCATTGGAACAGTTAATGTACACAATATGTAGTCGACACGTTGCCATTCGAGATTTAACGACGATATTACGCAAAGGCGTCGTCACATAACGAACAATCACGTTTGGGCAAATTCCGTAACGGGTATATGTCTGTCCCTCGGAGGGATGTGGGCAATCCCATTACGGGCGTGTCAAAGCCAGGCTAATTAACTCAATCGCGTACACGCGGCGACAAACAAACGGACAATATATTGATTCGATTACAGACGGAGTATACAGCCGGGCGGAATCGTTAGAATCGGCGAGCGAGCATAAGCTCGTTATTCCGGGCTTGTGCACAAATTGCAGATTATTTTGCGACGCCACTTGTCAGTAGACTTATACGTAAGAACGCTCAACGCGCGGTGATTACACGGCACAATTTTGTTTCTTGCCAGTTGGCAAGTAACACCCGTACTTGCGATACTTTCTATATATGGATGATTAAGAGATTATCCTTCTTCATTTGACGCAGTCATCGAGTATCTTCAGTTACCGAATTTAATGCTCTATATTATAATACACTACTTTTACTCTTATGATAACCAAAAATACTTCGTTCTTATCTCGATTTTGGAAAATTTAGTAATTTATTGTGTTTCCTCTTTTCTTTCACGCACACGTGGAGTAGAATAATCTAACTACTATAAAGGTAAGTTAAAAATACGTTTGTTAATAAGCAAATAAAAAAATATCTACTGCAGAATTAGTTTTAATATAAATAAATATAAACTACATATATGTATAGTGCATTTTGATATAGTGCACATATTCTCCAATTCTCATAAATTTCATGGCGGGAAACACATTTAATCCTTCTGTCAATGCAACGGGTATCCATTTTTCGAGTAAAATGTTCAAAATTTTTATAGGAATTTTTTTATACTACCTCAAATCTCCATCCCTCAAACAAAAAACAGTTTTGCATAAGACTTTATCTCTCTCACTTTTATATTTTTAACAAAAACTTGTAAAGTCGAGTATATATTACACTGTTCAATGTACTGGGTGTCCGGGTATCCATTACTAATTTCTTGCAAATATGAAAAATATTTGAAGATTTTTCATTCTAAATAAATAAAAATTATTTTGATGTAAAATATAAAATATTTTATTTAGTAATTTAATTTCACCACAGAACTGTATTTAATGCATTAACATCAGAAATCCAATCATCGATTTTGCTGTCTAAATATTCATTATCTGAGGAATCAATAGGACTCAATAATAATTGTAAATATTTTTCTTTTTTTTTAAATTCAATCCGAAATAACAATAAAATAGCAATTCTATATAAAAACAATAAAATAATAACTCCAAATATTTTTCTCTCTTTTTTAATTTAATTTAAAATAATAAAAAAATTTTAATAGTGAATAATATATATATATATTTTTTTTTTGGTTGATGCTAATGTTTGAAAAATTATTTTTCATGATTAATGTATCAATGATATTTCTTTATTTTGCTAACTACGTTCTCGATGTGTAATGCTACTATGTTGATAATAATAATTTTTGCATATAATAATTAATTATGAATTAATAAGAAACAGTACAAAAAAACACATTCAGTCACGTGCAAAATATACATTAATAGTCACTGAATATTAGGAACACGCATGAAATATTGTGTTAAAATGTATTATTTCGGTACAAAGTAAGTACATCAAGTTTTGTTCGAAAATTCTTCAAAATGCGTTAGAAAAGAATTTTCAAGGCTTAGTAACAGCCATAATAACGTTTTTGTACGGCCATATTTTGAAATACGCAGTAGAGCCAGTAGATATCCAAGTACTTAATAATGAGTATTGACAAAAGATGAAATTATGCATTGACAGAAGAGTTAAATGAATAGCTGTATCTTCGAAAATTTCACGACGGCATAAAACGAATCGTTTTTACGCCTGTAATTATTCGTAAAGTCAATAGAGCGCGAAACCGATCCAACATCTCATATTTCACTACAAGTGAATTATCAGCGATAAACGCGAATGTTTAATCAGGAGCGTCAATCGGCTCATCTGCGAATTCTGGAAGTTACCATAAAATTATTCGATTATTACATTGTGTAGAGCATTGTGTCTGTCTTTAATATATAATTACTACAAATATCTCATAAACGATACGAACTATAGTTTTTTATTTTTAAGTTCCTCAAAAGAAAAAAAGATTTTAAAAAAATTCTTCAATTAATTTTACATAAATTTTCTTTTGATTATGTGGAAAAATAAAAAAGTTGTTAGATGTTAAAATAACATCGTGAAAATAGAAAATTAGGCACGAATCTCAAGTGTTCTATGTCGAGTAAAATAAAGAAATATGAAAATTTAAAATAAAGTGATATAAAAAAATTTAACCGTATGCTTTTTGAATAAAAGAAGCATGAGGAGCTATCCCAAAGCTATTTATGATTCCGATCGGGTCAGGAACTACGATTTCGGAATCGATTTCTCGCTTGCTTACAAAGTGTCGAGAAAATGGGGTCGGGATCGTCTCCCGATGTTATCCGAATTTCCATGATAAGACAACTGACGAAAAACGAGATTATTTCGGTCGGGGACCTTTCCGAATAATTTCATGATAGCTTCCCAAACGACACAGAAAAAAATACTTTCACCGATACTCGCGAAACTAAATATTCAGCGCGTCGATATCTTTTAGCATGAAATTTTAACGTACACCGCTCGGCGTGCCTACGTCTTTTATCTTTCGCGAGGTGATGCGCGAGTAATGAATAAAGTTAGGGGAACGCGTCGTTTTCTTGGGAGACCTCTATTCGTCCGAAAACTTTCGGTCGACGTAAGGATATCAGCCTACGAGCCCCTTCGTATCGGGAAACACGTGAATCGGATTGACTAGTTTCTTCGTAAATACGCTCCCGAGGAGAGGCCTCGTAAAATCCGGTAAGGATATTGGCTGTCCCCGAATATATCGGGGAAGGAATATACACCCATGGCGCGATATCTGAGGTGATATCGCTTTTACAGCGGCAGTATCGCGGGGACGCTGCGCGCACGAGTTACGAAATATAAATGTCGGGGAAACAGAGGCGCCAATTTGCCGTGAAATCCTCGCAGGAACCGAGATTTCGCTTCTTTCGCCTCCCCCCCCTCGCACGTTGGAGCGGAAAACAGAAATTCCCCGTCTGATCTCTGTACCTCCAAATACGAGTTCTTCCGTGAAATGGTGAATTCGAGATTTAACCTTTCTCCTCTTTGAGATAATTTCAATATCGTGAGCGTGTGGAATTGCGAATTCCGCACGGGATAGTCCGTAGATCGAAAATTCTTCTGCGAAAATATAGCATCTAGATAATATGTAATTCTCTTTACACGTATATTTATATCAAAATTTTTATACGATAAGCTTAAAATCATGATATATTTTGTTTAATCAATGAATATATACTAATAAATACGCTAAATTTATTTCGTAACAAAAAAACATCGAATTAAAATTCGGTTTCTAATATTTTACTTCTTTTTGACCTAAACAAAAAGAATTTAGATAAATTTACATGAAATTTGTTACGGTCAAAAAATTAACAGCATTATAATTAACTTGAAAGTTTAAAAGAATATAAAAAAAAGAAAAATGTTTTCTGTTTCTACGAACAAAAAATCGTGTCAAAATCTAATGCAAAATATTATCTTATAACTTTTCTGGATATCCGGTAGATATGTACGTATAGACGTGCTGTACATAAAAATATATAAAGTAACGTAACCGCGTATATCAAAAGCGTCAATAACAAAAAAAAAATTGTTATAGAGGAGAAGGGTCGGATTATATAGCACGATATTGAGACAGCTTTTTTCTAAGCGCGAGGATGCTTTTTCTCTGGCAGGTCTTTTCGCGCGCGTCCAACATTTCCTAAAATCTCCCATCCAATCACTTTGCGTGAAATATCTTTTCTATACGCCGCATCTCTTTATGTCGATGACATCTCATCATGTATGCGATTCGCAGACTGAAACGTCGTTGCTGTACGACGCTGTCCATCTTTTCGCCAAGGCGTTACACGATCTCGACACGTCCCAACAAATCGATATCAAGCCGTTATCCTGCGAATCAACGGATACCTGGCCTCACGGATACTCGCTCATCAACTACATGAAGATCGTAAGTAACATTAATTGGAACAATTAATATACTTTTTTTTAAACCATTATAATTAATATATCATATCGCATCCTTGCTTTAAAAGTGACACTACTCAAAAAACGTGATTCTCGAGTATTCAAGTAGTTAGAGTTAGTTTCTCGAGCTTTTAAAGTTTTCTACTCTTTCCTAAAAAACTTTATTTTTTGTATCACTTTTAAAGCAAGAATGTGATATATATTTTAAAATGTAGAACATATGTTTTTTGTGTCAAGGCCTTATATCTTCTTTCTTAAGCTGTTCTAATACATATAAATAAATTCTAACGCATAATTCTAGTATGTATGTAACTGAAATAATATATTATGTATTATATTAGGACCTTGAATAAGTTCTCGCTGTTTTCCAACTGATAGCGTTACCAAAACTGCGTGCGTGTAGTTTAAGATAGTAATGCGTCTATAAGGAAGTACTATAAGCAAAAGCTTGAAATTCAGTGTATATCATTGCGCCGAAGTGTAAACAACTTTTTTTTCATAGTGTTAAACATGTCGAGTTTTGTGCCAAAAAAAGAGTATTTGCCGGGAATTTTACTGCACTACTTTATTAAAAAAAAATCTGCAGCTGAAGCACACAGAATTCTTGTTGAGACTTACGGCGACCATGCTCTGTCGGAAACAACATGCAAAGATTGGTTTAGACGCTTCAAAAATAATGATTTTGATGTTGAAGATAAAGAATGCTCTGGCGCACCGAAAAAGTTTGAAGATGAAAAATTGGAAGGATTACTTCATGTAGTGGTTAACGATGGACAATATTTTCAGTGACATGTTTTTTATGACTTTTTTTAAATGAAGCATTAATTTTTCACGAAAAAAACAGCGAGAACTTATTTAAATAATCTGTATTAATATAAATGTATTATATTATTAATATGTATTATATATAAATTCTTTTATTTCTTTTATCTTTATCCAGTTTTCAATATCTGCACGTAACGATTCTCTTAATTTCGAATGCAAAATCCGTCAATATAAATCTGAATTTTTACAGCGGCTTTATTTATATAAATATAATTCTTATATTTCTAATATACATATACATATTAAATAATCTTTATATTAGCTCAAATAAAGTCAAATATCAATTAGCTGTACGTTTAGCACTGCAACACTAAATGCACCACACGCAGAATACCATTAGATACTACAGTATACGGATCGTGCAATTGTCACGTTTAGCTAACTTTAATTGAAATTAATTAAGCAGTCAAATAAATTTAGATTAGGAGGCAAACGACAAATCGGATTTGCGCAATCCTTTCAAGCCCCCGTGAAATATTTCACCGCGATGTCGTAAAACACGCGCGACGAGAGCGTTCGCGTTAGTGAAGGCGAATGCTTGTATATCGACAGCCATCTTTCCACATGATTAGTGCACGCTCGTATTCAACGATGCAACGATGCAAGGCAGAAAGCGGGTTATCGCGAATATATCACGCTGGGGAGAAATTAATCTCGCGCACCACCAATCGATCGCTCCGACAACGTAATAAGCCATTATAACGATACGCTTAATCCGGCCGACTCGCTCGCTCGCCTTTCACGTAATCTACGTACCGCTCATTAACCAGCAGCACAAGTCTTGCCGAGTGTATTACGCACAATATACGACAGGCCCTCACTTGTTATTCCGTTAATGCGTAAAACACAAAAGGAGAGCTTTCATGTTTTGCTTCTCTTCTGCTTTTCGGAATATCTCAATCAGAGATCACAAATCACAATGATATCTCCACCTTCTAACATTTTTATAGACTCTTTCTGATTTATTTAATGTTAATCTCCTACGTTGTATATATTAATAATTATGTATAACACAGATGGATTAATCCCTTCAAAATCCATATTTATGATCATGCAGCATGAAAATTAATCATGCTTTTGATATTGCAAACGTCAGATATGACTCTGATACAGAGTTTGTCCGTGTAACACGCTGAAACGTATTGAAAACCAAGACTAATTTTATTTAATGCAATGCGGATATATGTAAATGCGGACACACCGCGGATTGATTTTTAATGCGACGCGCAAAGGTGTACCTTCGCGTATATATTTTTCGCGAGTAAAGGAAAAAAATTTGATAAATACGTGACACGGCGTGGTGAAGGAAATCATGCGAAGCACGGACGCATTGACTTTCCACGATCCGCGCGATTGTTCCCGCGGAACAATGGAAAGTTACTCCAGTTTAAACGAAGCTGTCACGCGTGCTGACAAATTGTTGTTCGTGGTTTTACCGCGATGCATCCTAACGCAAAGGATAGGCCGTAGCATCCGCTGTGCATCGCGCGATGCATAGATTTGCGGCACGATATTCAAACCAAATATGACGAAATTTTTAATCAATACGGCTGAATTTGTGTAATCTCTTTTTTTTAACACTTTGACTGTCATGTCCAATTGAATATACACTTATATAAGTTCAGGGTACCGCTGTATCAATTTTAGTAATAATCTGACACACATTTACATTTATTGTACCATCTATGTAATACCTACAAAAGCTTTGCATTGATTTTATATGGTACATTGTGAATTCTGGAGAGAGATCCATTAACTCTGTCGAAGACTTTTATTAAAAAACAGATTTTATTGGAAAATGTATTTTAACGTGAAAAGAATTTACTTAAAATTATATTAAAAAATATAGTGTGACGCCAGGAAACCAGAAATCTGCATGGCAGCAAAAGGTTAATTCACTTTCTGGAAAACTTATTTAAAAAAGCAAAAGCGAAGATAATAAAGATTCAGTTTTCTGTGTTAAATAGAGTTTCAAATATATAAGCAGTAGAACATATATATATCATAATATTATATAGCTTCCCTCGTTATGCTATTTTGTACATAATATTTATTATTATTTATATATTTCTTCAGAAAATTTACCTTTTACTTACAACGAAAATGTATTTTTTTGACCACATTTTGAAGGAATTTAGTTTATAAAATATTTTTCAAATAAAAATAAAATAATATATACCAAATAATTTATATGTATATATGTGTGTGTACATGTGATACGCTGAAAAATTATTCATATTGGATTGCATCTGGTATGACCATATATCCCGGTGTGATCTGTTTATTCGTAGCAAATGCTGTCGCAGCGCGCTGCAGCTGCTTAACAGCGAAATCGAACGCAGGCAGGATATGTATATATAGTAACGCGAAGGGCGTCAGCTAGATACGAGCTAGACCGTGAATATAAATATGCGTTGCACGCAGGATATGGAAACGTGCCTCGTCATACACGTCGCCGTGTCGAAATTGACAAGTACTGGAAGATACGTTCCGCACCGAGGCCGGGCTCTCATGTGCACCCGCGACTACGTATATGTCACGAACGAACGAAACCTGTCGCTCACGCGGCCCGTACCGTCCTGCATGCAGACCAGGATAAGCAAAAACTGATGTCGATAGAACGAGACGTGTAATTTCGGCGGACTTGTTACGCAACTACCCAATTACGCGATGTACACGCGTCCGTGCCGGATTACAAGTGACGTTGCAGCTCTAATTTTCAGTTTAAAAGGTTTACCTCTGATCGATCGTGGAAAAAAACAGAACACTTTAAAAGAGAATCTATCGTTTAGTATTGTTCCCATCTGAAAATAAAATCGTACCTGAAAGATTTTTGTAATACGTCTCTTTTAACGTTTTATATAAATCTTTAACGTCTGTACACGGAAAGAACAATTTTGCTGAATCTAGATCTGAAAATAATTTTTGTTCAATAGTCAAAATTATTTTGTCAAAAGTATTTTGTCGAAAGTCAAAATGATTGCTAAAATATCAAAACGTTTTATAGTAATACTTATCAGTATACTTATTTTAACATTCCAACAATTATTTTCCAAATTATTTTGATGATTCAATAAAAAATTATTTCCAGATCTATTTTTAGCAAAATTTTTAGGTCTTTCAACAAAATCGCCCTTTCCGTGTACGACTATATATACTAGATATATATTATTTTGTATTGCATGACGTTGAAGAAAATAAATATGGCGAGAAAATATATTTGTAAATAATTCTCGTATTTTGCGTAAATAATTTTACAGTAATGAAAAAATTTCTCACTTGGTCAGTTAATATCGTAAAAATGTAGTATGATTGAATGTGCTGGCAAAACATTGCAAGTGCTACGATTGCGTCAGAATTCACTCGCTGGTTTTCTAGATTTCATAGCAAATAACGCAACTCGGTGATCATCTCGCGTTACATTGTCACCGATAGTTTTCTTTACGGCAGACATATGATGGTATCTATTTGTGCGATATCGATACCGCACGTTCGTCGAGTAACGCAATAATGATCAATTAAAGTGTTTCCATCAGTCCTTCCAAGGATCACGTCATAAGTCGTCGGTAAAGATAAGACCTATATTAATCTCGCGTGTCAGGAACAGAATTTAATTTCGCGATATTCATGAAGCGGTAATTGCAAGCAGTCACCCAGAATTTCGTCCGCAATTTATACACCGCATCGTTTTGGGAATGTACAATGTGTGACTCGTGCGCGGCGCACGGAAAGACCAGACAGGGTTATCATGCGGTACGTAATTACTCGCGAATCGCGCCTTACAAACGAATTGTTATGATAGAATTTTCGAGATACAGTTGCGTATTAACGTCTTTAGTGCGTTTCCGTGTAATTACGAAGTATAACATCCGGCATATTGCTGCCAGACGCCCGCCTCGTATCGGGTTTATGAGCGGTAAATATTTAGACGTATCCTTTAATACGCGTATGCGTAATAAACGCACCACGAGTCTACTCGTGTCCAAGTTTGGATGTATGCGCGTCTCTCTTCAATTGGCTCTCAAACTTTTTTCAATCAAGTCGCCAGTTGTCATGTTGGCAATTAGATCCAGATAAATATTGAGTAAACAGAATTTATATAAAATTAAATTGTAATTAAATTGTATTTAACTATTGTTGATAAACTTTCTTTGAACGAAACATTTGAGATGTGAAATTAGAAGTTTACATTTTAGTAAAATTTGTATGATACAATTTTTGAGAATCACTGATCTACGCACACCACGCGCGTACAACGTAACGTATAAAACTCTTACTGGCAGTACGTTGATTTATTCGCGTATAAACCGTCCTATCAGATATTTTCAGTATTTCAATATGCATATAAATATAATCAAGAATATCAACAATACAATTTTGATATCACATATTTGCAAAACATAACGTTAACAACCTGCCGTGGTTACACAAATACTATTTAATTACAACCTAATAACAATTAATAACAAAATAATATTTAGGAACTTACCATAATAGACATATAATTTTAAACATTATAAACATAATATAAAAACCACTAATCGAGGCCACAAAATATTGTTTGCGCAATTTTAACTTTAAATATTTTCGCTGTGGTATTTCAGGTGGAGATGACGGGACTCACGGGTATTATCAAGTTCGATCATCAGGGATTTCGTTCCGACTTCGTTCTAGACATCATCGAGCTGAATAACAAAGAAGGCTTGAAGAAAATCGGTACTTGGAACAGTACCAAAGGTATCAACTTTACGAGGAGCTACGGCGACGTTTACAGTCAAATCGTTGAAAACTTGCAGAATAAGACTTTCATCGTGACGACTCTACTGGTGAGTGACGTTTCCAAAGAATGCGCGCGGCTTTCCTTCCTTAAACATCGGAATAATATATTGAATAAAACTTTCGTCTCTGAATACGAATGCTTAAGTTTTGTTTCTTCGAATCTTATAAATAATATAATTGAATACTATTTAAGATAACGTATAATATTATGTATTTTTACATTCTATTTCTTTTTAGATTTGATCATACAGTCGAACCTCGATAACTCGAATCTCAAGGGACCAGCTATAAAAATCTTCAAGTTATAAAGGTTTCGCATTATCGAAGTTCGAGTAAAAGAGAGTTAACATATGAAAATTACGAAAGCTTTGTACGAGAGTTTATAATTTATAATGGATTTTAAAATAAAAAATTCGAAGTTTTTCGAGTCGGTTTTCGAGTTATAGAGGTTCGAGTTATCGAGGTTCGACTGTATCACATAAATAGCATTTTTTTTCATCATCTGTTATAAAAGAATAAGAAATTAATTATTTATTAAAGCATTGCAATATATGTATTTCTGTATCTCTTCTAAATTTCTTTTATCTCCTTATTTAGTTTCTAAAACAAATTGCATTAACGAGATAGAAATTTTTAATATAAATTTAAATTTATTATATAAATAATTATGTAATACAAGAAGTCGAAACTGCAGAAGAAGAAACTTCCAGAAAAACTTGTTCAGCCTGAAGATATTAATTTGCAAACCATTGTGCGAAGTTTCGCTTAGAAGAAAAATCCCGAACCGTTTATTTCGTTCGAAGACATGTCTGCGCGAGAAAAAAAGAATCGTTCGTGACAATCGCGCGCGACGGGCTCGGAAATCGTTGCTTTAATCGAAGCGCGAACAAAACAGAAACGTCGCCGCATTTAAGCGGCAGTCACAGCGGGGTGGGAAAATTTTTTCCATCCATTAGCGAAGCTTGCGCGCTCGTTAGCTTCCCGCTCCCCCTTTTTTCCCGGAGAATAAAGAGGAAGACAAGAGGGGACGCAAACCCGTCGAGTACCGGATACGCACGCGACTTAATTGAAGTTTTCGCAACGACTCGCATTACTTATTCTCGCGCTAATTGCGGCGACAAATAATGCACTCGGTAATGTATTAAGTACCTTGAAACTTGGCCGAGAAAGGGACGACACGGCAAGTTTCCCGGTAAGGCCGGGCACAGTAAGAAGCGGGATATATATGTCGTGTGAGAATCGTTCTCATAAAAACTTCGATGCTCTAACGTTTCTTCGATCGGTGTACGCTGGGATCGGCAACTAAACGGATCTGTCATAGATAAGAACATACAGCATGTCTTAGGTATACCTTACAGAATGCTACGTGAGGCTTATATTAAATGTTAAACACCATTCTCTGATTAAGATCAATAAAATTTAGCAAAATCCAGTAAGGTATTTTCCATAAGAAACATATATTAATTGACGTGTTTTTTATCGCCAGGAACAAATACCGTTATTTTTGTAATTTTTCAATTTCCATCATTAAGTATTTTGCCATATATACTTAAAATGCAAATTTATAGAAATCAGATTTACTTTACAACTAAGATAACGTTTGCATATTTATAAAACTGATATTTTTCCAAGCCTTAATATTTTACACGTATATATATAATAAGATTTAATACATAGCTCTATATATATATATATATATATATATATATATATATATATATGTATTAAACAAAAATTTACATTCACTGAATAGTTATTTAAACAATATAATAATTAATGTTAATAACTTTCATGATAAAATTTTATTAAATTTTTCTTTCATAACTAAGATCGGAAGAGCACACGTCTGAACTCC